TACTACTACTACTACTGCACACGGTGAATCTTGGAATCCTTCAATACATGAATGCGTCGGTGATCCATTTGCTGATTGAGCATGGCCAATTCAGAGCCTTATCTGATAAGTAAAACCACCAGGTAGGAGTCAAATGTTTTTTTCATATAGTGGTGACTAATCCAGGTGGTCAGACGCTGGCAGACCAACTCTCAAGCATGACCCATGCCTTGAATGCCTGGTGCAAAGCGAAACGTATTCGGAGCCTTTCCTTCAAACCTGTGCTTAAACTTTGTTTTCTATGTTATTTGCAACTATTGGGAAAAACTACAAGCCAGAAAATGCTTTGTTTTCTTTATAAGTGCACCCTAGGCACTATCAACACCCTATATGCACAGCGCTCATTGTGGTGAAAGATGGTGAATACCCAGAGCTTCGAATCAAAGCATATGCAGGGCGCATCTTAGTGGCTTTCCTGCAAGAGCTAGTCAGGAACCTCGTTGCCAGCTTTGGGAGTGATGACATTCCCCAACCGCTGCCTCTGGTTCATGGCGCGATGACTCATATGTGCACTTGGCTTTTGCAAATTGAAGGTGCCCCGAGGTTTCTTTCCAGATCCCAAGCCGATGCAATTTGGAACACATCACTGCAGAATCTCGCCTGATGAAAGCAGTTGCCACAGCCATGGCGTTTTGAGTTCTCATGCACTTGGGGTGTACCTTTTCAAACCCACCTTGTTAGTGCATTGATGTACGATATGATTGTGAAACCAGGTTCCTGGATTGCTACCGGACTCTAGCTATCTACCACCAGAGAGCAAAGATCCCTCGATGGCCTTTGATACCAAAGCTTCATGACCCTTGGCTTGCCAGAAACCCAAATGTTTGGAAGGTTTTCTTCACACCCACAAGGATAGTCTGGTTGTTTGTTTTCTTTTTTGACCAGTGAGGTATATCAAGAAATCAATCGCTTCATGGTGATGAATCTTTACAATACCCGGTGCTTTCATACATTTATAGATGGGATCACATTGGGACCGTCAAGCATTTAGCAAGAACAGTCCATCGTTCCCTTCTCGAAATGCGCCTCTTGGGGCGATGGCTCTTGCGCTTGAGAACGTTTGCTCGGAAACGGGCATGACGGGCATGACGACTTGGGGAGAGAGAAAAAACGATGCTATAGGAATGGGCTGGCTTGGTGAGGCATCAACCACAAACAGAAACCCATAACTTATGAGTTTTGTGGGTCCTTGTGAATGTATGCTCTGAGAGCTGACGAAGGCAAATGTTGGAAATAATTCTAACGAAGCCAAATGTTGGCAATAGTTGTGCACCTTGGATCCTCAGGGATATATCATTCAACTTCGTTGTACCTGCTGTGGACATCTCCAAAGACTGATCTATCTCGATCTAACAAAGGCCATGGCATAGGTATTGGACCATCCGACCTGTCTAGGAAGTCCACTGGACATCTCGGGTCGTAGGCTGGGGGGTCCCCAGGACACCCAGATGGTCGGATGGTCGGATGGTGTGTCTTCACCTGGTCGGATGGGCGCTGGTGTATTCTGCTACAGGTTTCCATGTCCGTGTCAAGCGCTCTATCTCAAGGATCGTCGGACAGGACGTGACACACCAAATCGAAAAAAACAAAACACATGCAGCATGCACGTGTGAACCACCCACGATGTGAACCATGCCTTAGTCGTGGGTTGGTATGTTCACATTTCGATCTTGGGGTATATATGGACAAACAGCCCGGCAAAGAAAGTCGCACCCACAGTTGAAACCACAGGTCGTTGCCACAAAACATGATATTTTCATGTAAAAGACCTGGCCTGCTTTGTTGGGATCTATGTATTTCTGTCTGGTTGTGCTAGGGGTTCCACAAAAGCTATAAGTATCTGATTGTGCACACATGTTAGTTGTTTTCCTGTGACATCCCCGTGAAAGCTATGGTTGACGATCTCATCGCTTCAACGTTGTTCCGATCTCATCGCAATTGATGCCACAGATTCGAATCAGTGCAGCTGGTCCGGCCCCGCGGTCCGTCCAAAGGGGATGCCGGTCCTTCTGGCCAAAGCCCCCCACCATGGTCGGCACATGATTCACATAGGCATCCTCCACCATGGTCGCCATGGTGTTTTCCACGCTCTTGTGGCCTTAGGCCACGGGTGGTCGGCATCGGACGTGCGTCGCCGAAAAAGGAGGAGGTCCTTACCGGATCCACCGACACCGATGTCATAGCTTTTAGGAATTCTAGACGGCCGAGGAAGAAAAAGCTACCCAGAATTATGTAGGAGGCTTTTAGCGCATCCATCTTTGGGGAGGGTTTTGATCCATCAAGAGTAATTACCATCATCATCAGTCTGCTTTGGGACCACGCTGTTGGGCTTCGAAAAGGAAGGGCCTTCCCCACCAACGACGTGCGAACGCTGGTTCCGCTGCGCAGATCCTGGGATCTGCAGGGGCTGAAAGAACGACCTACACTCCCTGGAAGTGCATGAGATTGGCCCTTGGAACGAGCATGAAGTTCGCTACAAACAAATGAACTGAACGAAACCATGGCCAATTGGAGGGGAAGTGCCGTTTGGGGTACAGTTGGGGGCCGGTGCGCGCGCTGTTTTGGGCATGTGTTTTGGGCTGTTTTGGGTCCATTGGCAGAAGGGTTCATGGGCAGAAGGGTGAGGAGGAGAGAACATCGGCATCCATTTTGATATACCCTAGGGCTCCAACTAGCTCCTGAGAAGGTGGTTTTGGGGGGTCTAACCACCGAACATGAGGAGATGGGCCAGGAGCCCTTTTGATCTATGGAGACCACCTTTCTCGCCCCGATCGGCTGGGTGTCTTCTGGTCGATCCAAACCTTCCGGGGTCGGAACGCCTGCGAGGTCCGCCTATATATATATATATACCTGCTAAACCTTATAACCACCTTTTGTTGTCCATGTAGCATCCTGGACTGGAATTGGTATCTATCCAGGGTAGCAGGTATATATAAGATCAAAACACAAACACACCCATCTTTTCTCAGGTTCATCAGATGCATCAGATCCATCAAGTCAATCCTCAAGAAGTCTGGAGCCTAGCCACTCCCAGCCACTCCGCCTCCAGTGCCGAGTGGCCCTCGGCGAACTCGTAGCGGCAATGTGCATCCCACAGATCGGACAACATCCGTTGATGCGCCGTGAGGCTTCCACGAGCCGCGGCCTGGAGATCCGTGCAGCTGAAGAGAAGGAGCTGCAGCCAGCGTGCGGTCAGAGACAGCGCGAGCATTGGGTGTGGGGCTCTCCGATGCAGGCAAGCTCTCTGAGTCGGCTTGGAGAGTTGTTTGAGGAGCTGATGCTCGGAGCCAACAGCAACGCGACAGCAATGCTCGGTGAGTTCCCCCGGTGCAAACCTCGACATGAGTCCGGTGGGCAGCTTCTTGAGGCCTTAGCCAAATTGAAAGATCTTGTATACTTACTGACTCATCCGGAGAAGAACCACCTGCAATGAAGTTTGATGAAGCACGTTCCGGGATCGTCGATGTTGCAGTTACTCTGCCCACGAGACACACTTTCCATTGCGCCACTACTTGGTATCCGCTGTTCCGAGAAAAGGATTGAACAGGTATGTTTCGCACACACAAAACGGTCGCGTACTCCTCAGCGTCTGAAACCCTCCTCGAACTGCATGAAACACTCCAACTTCAAGTGGTCTGTTTATTCATGTCTCTTCCCCAAACACTCCATGGGATTGGCTACCTATACATTCCACCCGGAAACCACTCCAAAGGTATGTCAATATGAAAGGCCCCATGGTCGAGACCTGGGCTCTCATCTGACATATCCTTTTTGGATCAACCTCTCACATGCGCTTAGCTGATCTTCTCCGTTTTCTGCCCCAAACCATCTATGCATGGAATAGTCGCCTATATATACATTAAGGATTAAGGTATGAGTAAATGAATGCACATATAGACTAAAATGTTTATATATGCTAGATCCTATACACTAGGGTCACACATAGCTTAAATGATGTGTACAAACATATACAAACCATTCCAGTCCCATGGAGTGTGTTGGAGAAGAAAAAGAAAAGGAAAAAGAACGTTCCCCTCACCGCCCCGTTGCGGTTCTCCAGCGACGAGAACTCTGCCCCTTCTTCCGTTGCGGTTGCGACGAAGTGGTCGAGACGGAGCAGTCTTTGGCTTCCGACCCAAGGGGTTGAGACGAGACGACCATCACCGGACCGTGAAACAACGTCCCAGTTTCAGTGGGACGTTGGAAGATGCTTTGCTGGTAGGCAAAATTCTACTCAAAGGAGATGTGCGATCTCATTGGGGTGGCCAGGTTGGTCAATTACAAGAAAGACTTGCTCTGATCGAAGCTCGCAGCGATTGTTTGGCCAAACAACTTGGATAGCTTTGACTCTCAAGGAATCTCAGCTTAGGTGAGTGTCGAGAAACAACACCATCCACACACAAAGTGGTTGATTTCAAGTCGACAATCCGTCCAGCTATTCCAGGGGCCGAAACCTTCTGAGTGTCGCAAACAACACGTCGAATCGAGGCAAACCGATAGAAACAGTGGGTGACACCCCCCAAATCTCCCTCTGTATCATATATCCATTTTGGATATCATCGACTTAGACCTACCAGGAGTCACACATTTAGGGCCTGGGGCCTGGGTGGTTTTGTTTGTCCCTTCGCTCGGAGCCGGGGATGTGACAAGGGCACCCCTTTCAAACTGCTGGTAGTAGCTTCTTGCTCCTAGTAGTAAGGCCAGGAGCCCCGAACGTAGCGTTGCTCCTAGTAGACTAGTAGCAGCGTTCTTGTTCCTCTACCTTGATCTCCTCATTTGCACTTGCCGCGGCCACGCGCGCCGTCACCAGCGGCGTAACAGCGGCGGCTGCTTTTCGGCGGCGCTGCTACAGGTGCTGGATCGCATCCTTGGGCGAAGAACATCCGTCCACAGCAGCGGTCCATCCCATGAACGGATGGACCAAATCAGTGCGGGGGGGTGGTTGATTTGTATATTTGGTGTATATTGTCCAGTCCCATGGAGTGTCTGGGCAATCATGAGGTCCACATGACTTGAATAGACCTTTAAGTGTCCCATGAGATAGAGCTTGGCCCCGGGCCGAAACGATTGCCGGGCCAGACGACTCTATAGGTCTCCGAACTGGCTGAAATGCTTTAAAGTGGCCTGTGGTGACGCAGTGAGGGTGCTGATGGTCGAAAAAAAAGGTGTTTGGGGGAGTCACATCACCGGGTGTGAATTGAGATAGGGAAACCTACTCGACCTCCCAGTTCGACCTCCTGGAAGGTTCGACCAGTCTACCCATCCGGCCAAATTTTTTGGCCCAAAAGAACTCCCTTCCAGCACCCGACCACTGCGTCACCACCTGCCATGGAGATGGAGACCATTTGAGAGTCGGGGCCACACGTGCCACAAGTGCTCAAAGACTATTCAAAGATACACATCTGATGGGGCCGCCTGTCTCCTCCCATGCGAACTTCGGAACGAACAGTTGCAAGTTGCAACATGTTGCCCAACATGTTGCAACAACTTCAAGCATCTTGCAAGCCCCTTGAGGGGCACCCTGTGTGAGACTTTTTGGAGGATCCAGTGAGCTTCCAAAGGCTTTCAGAGAGGGATTTGCCGCATCCTTCAGGCAGTCTGCCCCGCTTCCTGAACACAAACGACCAAGAATATACCAGGAGCAAGGATGCTGATTGGGGCCTCTAGGGGCGCTCCTGGCCTTACTACGGGTGCAACGTTCGTAAACACCGGGCATCGTGACCGTGTTGTGAAGGTGTCGCGACGGCGGACGCGACCTCGCTATGCGTCAAGCGCGTCACGCCGGTGAGACGACGGGTCCACGCTGTCAGGACACATGCTGGGAGTATCTGAGTGCTTCCTGGTGGATCTCCTGGTCACAGAAAAGTGACTTCACAAATGGGCATGAATGACACGCAATGAATAGAACACGAGACAGAAACACAAGGGAACCTTGCGTTCTTGCTCTGACCACTCAAGCTGGGATCTACACAGCTTGCAAGGGCTTCTGGAAAAAACACATACAATAGTCATCAATAGTCATCTAGTGGATTCAGAGTAGGTGGCACAATCCCCGAGTTCAGAGGAGACCCCTATCTGTCTAAGACATCTTGGTGTTTGTGCCATTGCATATATCCCAAACACAGCTACATGGACCCCAAATCAACCACTACAACTGCTCCGTACATATGCCAGTCATTGCCAGTCCGAACATAACAAATTCCACCCCAAAAGGGAGAACATCGACGGACCTCGTGCGACGAACGGCAGTGTCGGTTGGTCATCACACCGGGCCCGTCCGAAATGGCGGAAACCAGGAAACCAAGACAAGTCTGCATAGAACATCTTTCTCCAGAATGGAAGAACACTCACTTCGGATTAGAGTACACTTGAGTACACATCGGTTGTACCGTAATTCCCATGTATTTAGCACTAGTTTGCACCCGTCCTGAATTTTCATCCTGTCAGGTCGGTCTCTGATGGTCTCGACCGAATTCGGTCGGCATCAGCTCGGCTCCGTACCGTGACCGGTCCTCCAAAATCTCTTTGTTCAGCTTGGAGCTGCGCAGTCCCGCCAAACGCCTCACCGGCCGGCTCTTCTCGCTTCGGCCCCGCAACGGGGACGGCACTTACAACGACTCCGTCGGTACTTCCGAAGAGGCTGCGCAGTTCCTTTTCGGTGCTGTTCGTCACATCGCCGTTTTTCTGGATGGGACTGGACATGTCAATTCTTTGCGACCTTGTCATTGTTACAGACAACCTTAATTACTGTGTGAAACATTTTTTGCGGGGTGAGTTCTTTTTGTTGCCAATTAAAAACATATGTTCTCTTTTTGGGGTGAGTTACTTTGTGCTTTCTGTGCGATTGTTTGAAGGCACGAGGCTTCATGATGATTAGGTGCAAGGCCCCGTGCCATGAGGAACTTGATGCCACAAGATGTTCGTGCTCTCTCCGTCTCCAACGAACAGGGCCCAACCACTGAGGGGCCTGGCTTCCGCCGGCCGATCTCCTACTTTCTTCGTGAATTGGTGGCGATGGCTAGCCATCCTTCTCAGAAAAACCGTGTCGATCGGACTTTTATCACGACCAATTCTTGGACACATAGATGACATCTAGATGACATAGATATTATAAACATAAAAAGCCGACGGAGGGCCCCTGATCTGATTTAACAACATCTTCACCTGGTCATTCTAGGCATATCTCCAGATCGTGTCTGGTTCAACCCAAACGCTCCAAAAAGCTCGCCAGGACCGGTGTTTGAACACCGGGATAGGTCCAGACCCCCTCCCTTTTTCGGAAGGTCGCCCTGGTAGACCCCCCTACCTTCGCACGCCCGCGCGCGGCGAAGAACGCACCACACGGCCCAGCCCCGTCCGAGTGAACGAGGCACTGCTTCAGCAGCGAGACGCACATCTTTCGTTCAGACTCCTTGGATGGCTGCAGTCGGTTGGGATCGAAAATCCCCAAACACTTTGAAGAGAAGAACACCGGAAGGGGATAGTGCTTACATGTGCTCTCTTTCCATCAAGATTTCCAACAACCCTAACCATCAAATGGGTCTGGAAGCTCTAGAAGATTTGCATACATTTGACCTATATTAAAACATCTGGAAACACTATAGGTAAAATACATTCCATATGGATTATTTGGGTCATACAAAAGGACAACAAGGCAAGGCAAATGACAAGCATATATCAACATCTCTCACAGTTTAGTAATAGAGTCGAGTGTTCCTGCACATCCATCAAAACCTGCACACAATGTTGTCTTATCGGCCTTTTTGACATTGCAACAATGCACTCTGAGACTCACGACATGATGCGGAAAAAATAAGGCCGGTTTCCATTCTGAGTGAGGAGTCCTGCAAGGGGCCAAGGGTCTCTACTTCCACGTGTTCCTTTAGAGTGTATACATCTTTTCAACAAGAAGCACTTCAGCTGATCTGACCACCCCAAACGCGACCGACCCTCCGTTCAGGGGTCTGGTGACCGGGACCGGTGACCCGAGGGTCGCCAACAGGAGCCAAGGCGCGCTGAGCTCCGCGGCCTCGAGGCAAAAGACCTCCCCCCCGGCCGACCGCGTTGGACCGGATCCGGGGCCCGCTGGGCTGGGACCGCGCCGAGGCGAGCGGACCGGGGTGGGGATGGAGGTCGTTCGGCGGCGCCTCTCAAGGATTGGAGGGGGGGGTGAGGTCTACCGTCATGCGACGTGGAGGAGGTTGTCGAATGCTCCTGGTCCCAGTAAGAGCAGTGTTGGTGGCACGAGGAGGTCTCCAGTAGATCCGTTTCTGACCGGGAAAAGCAATCCCAAGTCTTGACTCATGGGACCGTCATTTTTGCCGATTAGGCCAAGGGATGTAGGCATTTGCCAGTCCCATGGAGTGTCTGGGAATGTCCTTTGCCAGCACGGTGTCTTTTTAAAACGTTGGAAATAGGTGGCGTTGGTACCATATAGACTCTATAGACCTATTGGTTGTACAGTTATGCTATACACACTTGACTCCTCTTATTCCTATTAATCAACCAACCAATAGTCAAAAGCTATCTATGATGAAAACGCAGAAACGGCACCTGGATTCCTTTCATGTTCAGGTGCATCGCATATCAGCAGCCACCCAAATCAGCCGGCTTTGGATCGCATGAAAAACGAATCCGACCTCATCAGCTCCTCTCAAAAAGTTGATCCATGAACGATTGGTCCCAGACACTCCATAGTCCCATACAATTGCTACATTTGAGTTACATGGATGGATGGTGAAGTTCAAATGCCTTAAGGTTGAACAGGGCGGTCAATATTCCAGTGATCTGAGAGTGATTTGGAAAAGGTTTCCCATTGGAGGTGAATGTCTGGGCATTGGACTTGCATCCATCGGACGAGCGCAGTGGTTCAGGATGGTTCAGGAGTCAGATCTGTTCGCAACCACTTGGTCCCTCACGTCAACTGGCATGGTTTGTTCACTGAGGCTATGCCGAATAGATCTGAATAGTAAAATTATGTAACTATCCCGGACGCTCCAAAAAGGCCTTGGTCCCTCAAGACCATACGTAGGGATTTGAAGGTCCGGACCCCCCGGTCCCTGAACGGAGGGTCCAGACTTCGCGTCTGGGATGTATGATTTGGGTCATCTGGATTGAACAGATTAGGCCATGGAGATTCATCACTCGGAGATCCCTCCTTCTACAGTGGATGCCACTTGACGCTTAAAGAGGTAGAAATCCAACGAAACAAACTGAGATTTGGTCGGTCACCAAGAAGTATTAGTCAACTCCGCACCTCGACCTCGACCCTTTTGCCCGTCCGATCTTCTCCCGATTCAGCGCGATCTTGATCAACAGATATATTAACGAGCATCTCCCCCATCAGAAGAATCGTTTCTAAATCAACATCTCAATAAAAAAGCAGCAGGTGTTCTGCCAATCCAAATTTAGTAACAAGTGCATCGCTACGTTCATAACATCTAGTAACAAGTGCATATACTACTATAGTAAGAAGAAGCCACTAGCAACAAGGTGCATCGCTACCTTCGTAGCTTCTTGCTAACTAGCAATGCTGCACTTGTTACTTAACAAGAAGCAGCCCAGCCCAGGGCTGCAGTGATCTGCTTTCTCCCCGCCTCTGAGACCAGGGCCTCGGCCAAGCCCGGCGTCTCGCGCCGCTCCTCGTTGAGCCTTGGCGGTGGACCGGACGGTCTCCGGTATGACATGGTCGTTCTGTCTGACATGTCTGCATACTGCCAGCCTACTGGTCTGACCAGCCCAGCCTATACTGCCTAATTGGAACGAGGCAAGGCACGACTGTATTGACAGGTGAACTTCCTGAAAGGTCCAAAGCATGATCCTTCCCTCAGCAGTAGGGTCTTGGTGTGGCCTTGGGCCTTGGTACAAGCTCCAGTCATTTGAGGTGGCAAAGAAAACAACATGAATCTTTTAGATCTCTCTTCAACGTAGAAATCATGTCCAACCATGTCTAAGATGCCATTCCCTAATATATGCGTGCGATTGTACGCCGAAAACTCATTCCAGCCCGCTCCGCTCCAGCCAATGCTTCCGACCAGCCAAGTATCCCGCCAACCAAACCAAGTTGCTTTCCGTGCATCTTCCGGGACACCAAATCTAACTTGCTGATTCTTGGCCTGATCCCTTCCAAGTTGGAGGCTGCCGGAGGCTTACTGGCCAGACCAAGAAGTGTCAGAAGAAGTGCCATGTCTGGTCCCCCCAAAAAAGGTGATCCCCGTGCCCGACATGCCGCCCAGGAGCGGACCCGGGCCACGCCTGGGCGTTCGTGACCGAGCGCTTTTTTGCTTGGCAGCAGTGTAGTACATGCCAGAGTTGGGCTATAACATGTTGTTTACATGGAAGCGCAGTACACCACAAATAGCCCAAAAGTCAGGGACATGTGTGACAATCTGACATGTGGGAAGCATGCTTAAAGATCATTTGAAGAGTAAAAACACCATGTTTGGAAAGAAAAGATCATCTTGCACCCACCGCTGACCCAAACAAACCATGCTTTTCATACCTTTCGCAGCCACCCAGGACCTTCCCAGCAACCTTTTGGAGTCTGATATAACCTTTTGCCGGCCTAAGTGACCTCAAACCAGGGGATCAAGACAGGTCACTGGGAAGACATTTCTCCCTTCTTAAAGACATGTCTCTCAAAGAGAAACAGGTCACTGGGATCAAAACAGGTCACAAGTTCTTTCATAATAGACATTTCCCCCTTCCTCGTTGCTGGACTCTTCCACAGCTCCCTGCTCCAAGCGACGGGCTCGTTTGGGGCGTGGAATCTGGCGAGACGGATCTCACCTGCCCCGTCGGCCTGGCGAGGTCATGTGATCCGGCATCACCTACGGTAGATGGACCAAATATTCAAACCCCTCAGTCGATGACTGTCACCAACCCCCGACCCCCAAAGGTTAGTGTTGAACACGGCTTCGTTGAATTTGTGTTGCTAAGAATGGCCTCCAACCTACTTGCGATGGCCTCCACCCTAGTAGCGATGACCTCCAACCTACTAGCAATGGCCAACAACCTACTAGGAATGGCCTTCAGGATGGCCTCCAATCTAGTAGCGATGGCGTTCACCTACTATAGCGATGGCCTCCAACGTACTTGCGATGGCCTCCAACCTAATAGCGATGGCCTCCGGTCCAACCTAAGAGCAATGGCCTCCAACCTAGTAGGGATGACCTCCAACCTACTAGCGATGGCCCTCCAACTCACTAGCGGTGGCCTCCACCCTAGTAGCGCGATGGCCTGCAATCTATTAGCAATCACTCAGTACTTGCAAGGGTGTTTTGCTTTTGGGACCCTGGGACCATGACCATACACTTTTCATTTCACTGTTGCATCCAATGAGCCATCCCAAGTGCGGGAAGTGACATTCATTTTGACTGATGCATGGAAATCACTCTTACGAATTCAGCTCTCCATCTCTTTCATTTCCAGCGACTTGGCCTTGGCCCCTCTGCCCGCTGTGCCACGGCCGTGGCGCGCGGCGAGGTCGTCTGCCGCGCGGCCATGGCTGCTTTGGTCTGCGGGGAGGCCTTGGCCTGGCGGAGCTCTGCGGCGGTCACCTTCGATGAACAGGGTCCATGAAGGCATACTGGGCCATCGGTCTGTGACTCTCTTTTTCGCAGGGCCATGGGATTTGGAAACCACTGGGCCGCAAGGTGAAGGGTGAAGGTCTTTTAGGGATTCTAGGGCCTCCTCTTGGCCCCGATTCACGGCCTGTTGCCCGCTCAACGAGATTGGAAAATAGCCGAAGCAAAGGATGACGTGGACGGTGCTGAACCCAACAGCATCCACCTTTCCCAAAGACTCCATGGGACTGCCATACGTGGATCCTCCTTTGGGCGGAAAAAAGTGCCGGACCTCAATCCGGCAACATTCCGAAAAAAACGCCGGAGACGTGAAAAAACATCCGGATCCAAGATTCTGAAAAACAGAGATGATAAAAGGTTGGATCATACACAAGGAAACTGCCTTTGCGCCACGAATAGTTTTTCTGGAGCACACTCATTCCACAGCCCAGCACTGGAGCCTTCCCGTTCCCATTGCCCTCGCCCATCTTCCGAATGGCCTAAGACCAGGACCATCACAAAATGGAAGCAACTCGTGCCCAAGCAAAGACTTCCAAGAAGAAACCAAGGAGCATGTGGCAAGGAACCCTTCTTTCTCTGCAACCGTGTCTCTAAAGTTGTTTGTTACAAAGTGGGTTGCTCTCCACGTTTCTTTAAAGCTTGCCTCAGGAAGGCCCCCGAAAGAAAGTAGCAGAACTCATGGTTCCTGTTGAAGAAAATCTTTTCAAAATCAAAACCTGCAGAAGACTCAGTCCAAAAAGTTATGCCGGAGTTACGGGAAATTACGCCGGAGTTGCGACGCGCCATTTTTTGGCAACTCTCTGCAAAACATTGAGATTCTGAACAACACATGTTCCACAGCCCAAAACTTGTCCGGCAGGCTCTGCAAACCTGCGCAGGAGTAGAACTATATCCCAGCGCCCCGACATCCTGAAACAATGGGAGTACGCTTTTGCCTATGTTCTTTCAGCTTAGGTGCACCCACTTGGGTCTTTCAACACGTGCATCGCACTGTACCGGCTTCATCCGGTTTCATTTAGAAGATCACCTAAACGGATCTGATTGATCCAGTGTGAGCCATGCTGAAACCGGTGGAATGAGAAAACAGCGGAACATGCAAACGAGCACACTTTGCAAACAAATTTCTTTGCATGAGTAGTGGGTTTACCTTCAAAGAAATGCAAATCACAAAGAATGCAAAGCCTTAAAAGTGCCGGACCAAATCCAGAAAAACGCCGGAGTTGGAAGTCCGGCGCCGGACCCTGTAAAAGCGCCGGACTGAAGATCTAGGTATATGTTTACATTGACCCCCCTGGAACCACCCCAACTGATCGGCATATGTCTGGGATAGTCGACCCCCCCCCAAAGACCCCCCTGAAAGGGTCACATCCCGTCACCCGTTGGTGCTAGATCAATGGTTTTGAGGGAACATCGACAGGAAGCCTTCTTTGGGATTCACAAGAAAAGCACTAACACTTCTGGGACTTGAGCGTTTTCGAACGTCCTCAAGATCATATATGTTCCCCATCGTGAGCAACTCTTCTTGGAATCCTGGGGTATTGAACTGGAACTGTTTGGACAGGCAGCCTACTCCTTTGTGTGACAACGGGAATGACGGGGAAACCAGTAAACTTTTGGATCTAGAAACAACCGTGGATTTGACAATATTTAACCGATGGTGAGCCACATTTGGGGGGCATTCGAGCCATCATGTATTATGTATCACTGTATCACATCAATCATCACACATATTGCATGTCATTGTTGTCTCATGGATTCTGTGCCTCAATGAGGCGTCTTGAGGATTGTGTCTAAGACCATGTGAAGCGAGGAAGTTGACGAATAATCTTCGTACAGATTTGGGGTTTGAATGGACAATGTATCAGTGTGGATCCACAACTGAAACATAGCGCAACATCTCTTTGGCAAACATATCCCACCACCGACAGTTCAATGGAAACACGCCATCTGTTTACTTCCATACACCTCCGACAGAGCTCCATCTCGTCAGAACAGATGTTGGGGCCACCGATCTAGCCGCAAGGCACTCGATGGAACCAGTTGCAACTGGAACCAACGATCATGTTTGTCTGAATGTTTCCAACCACCGTGGCCGACCGAGACGTGGACCCGCGAGTCGTGCTATTGATTGTCGTGTCTCTGTTTTCTGCACCTTTGGCCAAGGTTCTCTCATTGATGACCTATATGGCCAGTGGCCCAATCAACCTCATTTGCTCGTTGAAACAGCCCCACTCCACCCAGCCCAAAAGGACAGACCTTGACACGCTTCTCCTCGCCCGCCAGGTACTTCAAGCTCTTCTCACGAGTGGCCGCATCCCTCAGGAAATCTGAGATGGATCAAATCTTGCTGTGCCCTCACCTCACGTCACCTCCCTCATTGACTTGCCACTTGAGTCACTTGATTCAGATCTGGGATGCCGTCTGTCTCCCTGTTCTCCCGTCCTATCGATCGTTCGGGCCTTCTCCCGGACACTCCCGTCCATCGGTCGCGAACGTCCGCTCGTCTGTCCGCGCCCAGGCGAGGTCCGCGCCGAGGAGCATCGAGACGACCTTCAAGCTGAAGGTGCTGGCCGCCAAGGCTTGCACGCTCATGCGATAATCCAGGTCCTTACAGTCCTCAAGCAGCACTGGCCGTAGAACAACGAGTGTCACATCCATATTAAATCAACAAAAATCATGTGAGATCAAAACCACACAACGTGTCATAGAGATGACCCCGTTCTGTTTTTTGGGGTTTAAGGCCTCATGCAATTGCAAACTTATGAAGGTTGTAGATCGCCCAAAATTCCTCTGGTCAGCCTGGCCACACCAAATATAAAACCATCAAATCCTCGAAGTTCCCCTGCTTGAGGACTCTCTGCTATCTGTGCCAGGTGATGTGTCTTATTGGACTCGTCCATTGGTCAATATCATCGAACCTCCCCAAATATGCCATTGACAAATGCTGACCAACGACTTGGATTGCCATCAAGCAGCTTGTTCCACCCTTTCGCACTGTGCTTGCAGGTACTGAACCGCTTCTTCCACCTGTTTCACAGAGTCGAAATCGAAACAAAACAACTCTTCGAGGCGCTTGGAGTCACCGAGAGGATGTTTTTTTTGTTTTAGGCCATGGCAGTGAGGTACTTCCCACCGGGATCCTTTTCAGAAGGCGGAAACGGCGTCGGTCAAAAACACCATCGTGTGAGTGTGAAAAGTGAAGACCGGGAAGACCACACAGACTCTTCATGACTCTTCCTGGTTCTTCAAAGTGACCTAACTTGATAACCTGGTTGGTTCGGTCACAAACAAGCCTCCGAGTAGGGTCACGAACCTTCAAAGGGTCACGAACTGAAGAAGCTGGTTGAAGAAGGGTCACGCCCTTTGGATTGATAAACCTCATCACATGGGTCAGAGTCTACATGTTTTTTTACCACATTCCTATTCCCCAGGGCCCTAGGTTCACAAGTGGATCCAGGGCTGCCGGTGCGCCGTTTGGGGTGTCTTATTCTATGGCCGCGATCGACTCCGATCGAAGAAGGGCTGTCCATGTGTCCATGAATGCCTGGGAGCCGTCCATCGGGAGGGCCACCCCGCGGCTTTGTGCCGAACCCCCACAAGGTGACCGGTTTTTCAGTGTCAAAGATCGTCAAAGGGTGCTTTTATGTGGTTTTCAGGAATCGTTTTCTGCATGGCCCTTGCGATGGCACGAAAGAGATCGTACGTCCTGACTGGCAAAAATCGAAATTGCCAGCTCCTCACCGTAGTTGAGCAGTTCTGGGTTCATGCATCAACTCTTGGCTTTCGTGGTATCCACATGCTTGGGCATCCTAGACTTCCGACTTTTCCAGGAGCTGTCAGCCAGCTGCGTGCTACCCATGTTGGACGAAGTCTTGGTAGGTTTCTGAGTGTTTCCGAGACAGTTTCTTCGTGAACTCGTTTGAACAGAGTTCACAAGAATAAATTGATCACAGCGAGAGCATAGAAAGCATATAGAAAGCTGCTCTGCCATCCAACGTTTCTCGGTGCCAGGAATTCAGGGCCATCCAGGAAAGCATGCGGCAAACATGGCTGCCAAACGCTGCCTTCTAAGTCAACAAGAAGCAAGTAGCAAGTGACGCAGCCAACGCCGCCAGCTTCCAACAAAGCATGACCGCGCATCAAAGTCTGCAGATCGTAGGCAAAGAACATGGTCTGCAGATGTCTGCAGCACCATTCGGCGGGTCTGCTGTCTGCTGTCTGCAACCAGGTACCCGGCAAAAAGATCATGGAGTTCATCCAACTCTTGGATGGGCAGTTGAAGCCATGAGTGTTGGATTCAGGGCGGCCAGTGCGGCACACGCAACCCGCAACAAAAGGACAAGGATGAGAAAATATAAACTAACGAGTCCGTTCTGGAAGAGCTCGAGAAAAACTATGGTGAGCACGGACTTGAAAGATTCAGTGAAGTCGCTCCGTGTAAAGTGTAAATGAAACGCAGCTCAGAAAATTAAGGAAGCACCATGGTAGAAAATAGACCCCCCGTCCAAAAAGTTAGAAACCCCGCCCCACCCCGTGTTCTCACAAAGCAAGTCGGTTCCGGAAAAAGTCCGTTCCGGAATAGACATGCAGTAGCATAACATGTGCAACGTGTGTCATTTACCTCAACTGCACCCCCCACCCCATGAATCAGTTCCGGAAAAAGGAAAAAGTCGGTTCTGTTCCCAACAACACACAACTGCTAAGAGAGAGGTTTTTCAGGAAGGTGACCGACTCTCCCAGAAAACCCCAGGTTCGAAGCGGATCCGACCTCTCTTGGTCACTTACCTCTCTTGGTGGCGCATGCGACCGACCGTACTTCCCGTCAGGCCGTCTTCCCCACGACCCCGTGAGGGCATTGACCTGCCCGTCGGCAACGTCGGCAACGCCGAAACGGTCCGTCTGGTTTTCCCCGTGATTTCTGCCACCCCGCTCTCCCCCCCAAAAAAAGAAGTCATCACTGATCACCCCCAAAAACACGAGCTGTCTTGGACTGGCAGAGGTGGCCCATTCCCTTGTTTTGGCCAGGAGTAGACTGCAGGGGTCCATGTAGCTATCTCCTTGCAGCTCGATCTTCCAGTCCCCGGCCTCCCCAGTCCCTCTAAAGGAGTCGAGACGAAACGCCCAACTCGGCGCACCTCCAAGCGTAGCTGTCGAAAGGCGTCGCCATCGAAGGTGAGGCCATTGACCTGTGACGTAAATAAGACAACGGTGATATGACCGGTGATCAAACGTCTACGGCGCGATCGCTGAAGAGATGTGGGGAGGACGGAGGATTGACTGGATGGAGGATAGGGTGATGGTGGCAGAAGAGGATGGAAAATATGGGAATGCTGTTGAGGATGAAGAGGAGGATGTTGAGGATGATGCTAGGTGTCACCGTGCTAGGTGTCACCGCGCAGCTCCAGATCAGTGACAATATGCCAGATCAGTAGAGGTTGCACAAAGAGTTTCTGCAACAATACACAAGTTGCAACCAATCATATATAGTGAAGAACAATCTGTCTGCAAACATGAGAGGTCACGATCTCTCCTTTGGACAACCTCATTTTCTGCCAAATCCGAGCTCAAACGGCCCCCCCCCCCCAAAGAGTTGAGGCTGATCTTCGACGGGTTGGCGGCTTCCGAGGTTGGGGGGTCATGGGCGCCTTGGCCAGACGGAGGCACGTTGAACCCAAATGGAAGGAAAGGGCGACCAGGGCGACCTGCACTGTATCGACCTGCTCCACGCATCCGACTCAACAGATCTCTTTTTGGCTTTGGAAGATTGAAGTGGTGACCTGCTAGTGAGGCTGCTGCCTTCTCGGCGTTAGAGTCGCGCCAGTGCAGGCCTTTCGACTGCCTTCCTGCGTGCCGGACGGCAGGCTGCCACAGCCCAGTTGTGCGCTCAGTGTCCTTACTCACCCTGGGTAGTATGCAACCAAGACCGCCAAGCGATGAGCGCGACGCAGAGAGCACAGCCGGTCTTGGTCAGACCAGTCGACCGGTCTTGCTCTTGTGGATCCTCCAACAGCTTCCAAGAGCCCCATTGGTTTGGCATAATTGATCTCGAGAAGGTGGGACTGGGGGGCCGTCCAGTCCTACCTTCGCTAGGACTTGGGCGGAGCCCAAACCGACGACTGGAAGGCGAGTGCTGTTTGGCTCCATCTCCTTGGCTGACGACCGGCCGGAGCCACAGGGCTAACTAGTTTTATGTCCAAGGAGATGCAAAAGGACAAGGAGGATGAAGATGAAGGTGAAACATTGAGGAGGAACATGGAGCTGATGATAGCTATATATATATATTATTGTCTTAATTGAGTGAAAGGTATGTCATTAATCATTAGTCATTAGGTGATGTTGTCCATCCAACCCATTGATGCTTGATCCAAAGAAATAGAAGAGGAAGCCTCCCTTAAATGGCTCATCGTTTTTGAGGGCTGCGAAATCGAGCATTTGTTTGGAAGCACAGCAGCTCAGCCCCATTTCAGACCGTTTAATGACAATTCAATCCATGCCCGACCTATGTTGCCAGTACATCTCTGTTCCAAACGGCCTTCCAAAAACACCTCTTCTCAGGGCACGGTTGTACATCTCAGGTTTCAACAACACAACCTGCTCGGTCGGAGCGATCTGTAGCGATCTGCTCGTCGGCTCCCGGCTCCGATTCTCGCCTTCTCCTCCATGGCCATGGTGGTGGAGCTCACCCTGACGTGCCGGTGACATGCTGGTGACGTGCACTCAGATGATCACGGGACTGTGCAGAACGCAACCAGTGCAACCCACCCCTGGAGGGATCTGTTTTCGTACCTTCTCAGCTACTGTGAGCAGTGTTCGACCCTGTGATGTACTGTAATTAGGTGGTCTTGGGGGGTCCGTTGTCGTACCGAAGCTGAGGTACGGTGGCAGGATCTGATCCCTAGGGCACCAAAAGCTTCACATTGCTTCGCATGATCTGACCCTTGATCTGCGGAGTCCAGTCCTGTCTGACAAGGACTCAGTGGAGAAATCCGCGGACTCTTTGATGAACTTTGAAGGTCGAGTGGAACACCACATGCGTGGTGTTGTTTGCACTATAGACAATCTGATAGGCCGCAACTGAGAGGTGATCTTACCATGTTTGATCCATTTTGCCCACCCCAAGCGAGACACATTCTTCCTTGGGAAACGTGTCACAATAAGGAAGAGCATCTGTTGAAAGTCGTTCAGAATCAGGCCATTCCGTGCACCAGAGTTGCAGTCCAAATGCTCTGTGGAGCGTATGCAGCCTATAAATCAAGCAGGCTACGTGAGAAGCAGGACGCTCTTTGGAATGAACGACCTCGCTGTGGGAGCATCTTGGACTGCCTGGTCCACTATACCCATTGTCATCCTTCGACTGCTTTGGCCCTGTTCAGGAAAGTGCCAAACAAGCATGGGTTCTCCAACCTTAAACAGGCACACCCTCGCATCAGGTGAAGGAACGAAACACATGAAGGCAACCCATCACGTTTTCCAAGTCCAATAGTCGACCTTTGCATGTTCCACTGGAGGATCTTTAGAGAATCAAGAGTTGTTTGTGGGGCCCGACACACCTCAATGTCCGAGAAGAGAGGCTTGCCATGTGTCTGGACTCTTCAGAATCGCGACTCGCGACCAGGTGCCTTTTTTTTCCAGTGCCAGTCTTCCTGCTTGAACCCTGTTGAACCAAAAATAACAGAGTCCATAAGTCACTGGGCCTACGCGTCTCGAGGAACGAACATCGAACCGTGCACCTCTTGATTTGCTCCGAACCCTCCTTCACGGTCTTCGAGAGCCTCGAAGAGCGTGAAAAAGAAGCAGTATGCGAGGGTCCAAGCTCGCATGTTGCGCTGGGGGGAGTAGATAGCCTAGTAGATTGGGATTATCAGGGTTGGTCTGGTCTTCCAGTACTGTGGTACCCACGCCCTCCTACTTGAGGAAGGAACTCTCCATGACCAGAAGACCTAAATGGCCATGCAAAGAACTTTTCCTGTAAACAGTGCCAAAGTAGCACAGAAACTGGTGCAGTATAGGGGCGTTCTTGCAACGTCGTTGCAAGTCGTTTGTTAGTGTCTTCAATTCCAGGACACTTGAACGTGTCATTCCTAAAAGCCAACAGGAAGTGCTGGAACCCTAGCACATCGAATCAAAATTGCAAGGCTTTTTGGCTTTACGCAATGCTTTTGGTGATATGTTAATGAGCAGGTCTATGGGTTTGTTTGCAGGTCGGGTTTAATGTTTAGCCTACGTATGTCCGTTGGGTTCTGGCGTGCCCTCCAAGCGGCGTGGTGAGGATCTCCCGATTGGCCTTCTCAGATGCCTGATGTGGCCGATTGGACATGGAGTGCACGCAAGCCATGAGATATATAATGGTTAATGGTACAAGTGATGCTTTTTGGGACTTCTGAGCATCACTTTTCAGAAAATTTACGACCTGTTTTGATCGTGGCGCGCGCTTGTGGGGCACCTTGCGTTCCGATAGGATTTTGTCAGGGGATTGCATCGGCTTAACTCCTGCGCCTATGAGAGTCCCGCGCGCGAGTCCACCTTGGGGGTTCAGGAGAGTCCCGCTCAGGCTGAGCCTGTGGAATGTGTCTGGTCCGAAGAACACGCCAAGTCTTTACCCTAGGGATCCAGTCGTACCTCCTCAAAAGGTACTTGGACCCTCCAAACCGACCCCAAACACCTTCTCAGAGGGGTACGACTGGATCCTTAGGGTTAGTGCACAAAAGACGTATACACCGTTCCATCGGTTGACAGTACCTGTGCTGGACCCGAATCTGACATCTCCTCGTCCACGCGACTCTTGGAGCCCCAGTTTCCTGGGTGACACCAGGAAACGACCGTACAAGTATGTCTGGTGATTCCACATGTCAACCAAATGTTTGGTTGCCTGGTGATGTTTGGTTAGCTGATGTTAGCTGTTTCTTTAACCTGGTGAAACCGGACGATCTGGTGTATGTTCAACCAGCAAGCCTGGGTCTTTGTCCGAAACGGACCTGTCCATTGGACCTGTCAGGGCCGAAATGTTGCCAGTTTGACCCTGGGACCAGTGGATGATGATGGGGCCGACATTTGCAGGCCTTTCCAGCTCCAAACTCGTTCTTGTTGACTGTTCAGTACAGCTACGCAATAGGCCAGGTTCTTGGGGAGCAGTGCCTCTTGACGAAAGAACACCCACCGGACCTTGGACCTTGGACCGAAGCGTGGCCCCAAGGAGTGCGTCCTTGACCGTCCGGCGTGACCACTCGGGCCGTCGTGATCATGTCCACTCGTTCCGCTCCTCGATGCGCGTGCGAAAGTCTCCCAGCTCTTCCTGCCAGCTCGACCGGTTCTTAAGCGGAAGGAGTGGAGGACAGGTGATGGGCTAGATGACAGACTTGGATCCAAATGATCCATGAATCGTGTCTACCAGGGGCCCGAAGCAAACCATGAAAAAGAAAGGTTTTCACATACAAAAACCATGTTTTTGGCTAGGGACAACCAGGTTTTTGATGGTGAACTGAGGGCCCCTGGTAGTTGGAGGCGTCTTCGCAGAGTAAGTACCTGTCTACCACCAAATCCAATCTTATGTTGACCGTTCAAACGCAAGCTGTTCAGACTGGTGACGTGCTGAAGAAGTGATTTGCACTGGACGCTCCTGCTACCCCTCACTTGGCCAGTGGCTTCACAGCTACGTCTATCATGCAGGATCTTCAAGACCCTGAAAGCTGTGACATGCGAGCGGATCCTCAATGCGGTGAATCCTCGTTTCTCTTAATCCGTGTCAGACACGGATCCAACTGCTTCTGACCAAGTGACACCAATTCACGCAAATTCACCTTGGGGTACTAAGGTCACCGCCCTCCTTGCTTTCCTTGTGCTCGCTGCTTGGTCTTTGGGTTGAGTTTCTAGTTGAAGATTTCTTCTGGAAGCCAATCGTGGACTTATCTCTCAAAACGCCGGCTTTGGACCGCAAACTCCAAACCGCTTTTTGAACCGAAAACTCCTTCAATGCACTAGAAGCTTGCGGGCGCTTGACTACCAACTTTACCCACAAAACGCCAACAAAACTTTAAATGAACAAACCAACATCCCGCCCAGTTTAAGCTTCAGACCGAAGAGCCAAGTCGTCATTTTGTCCGGTTCACTCCGCACCGGACCGCCTGGACGCTGCGCCGGAGGGCATCCAACGACCCGGTGACCCAGTCGCGGAGGCTCTCCGCCTGGCGGGCGAGGAGGGGGGGGCGGTTCGTTCGTGCGACACATCTGCGTAAGTTGTAAGGTGTTTTACTCCGACTCGAAGGTCTTCAGTCTTCAGCCTGTTCAGAGGTGTTTGATGAATGATTTTTCACATCACCAGCTGTTGGATGAAGAGGAAAGGCCTGGTAGCTTCCGCAGCATGTCATGAAGTGTCCAGTTCAGGCAACAGTTCAAGGGCTATGAGTCAGGTGATGATGTGGGGGTGGGTCAAAACCTGGAGCCCTGGTCCACCATAGCTTAATCTTTCAGGAAATTTAATTAGGTCAACCAAACTATCCTGCTGCCATGACTCACAGCCATGTCCTTCATGTGTGTGATGGACGACGCACGGAATGCATCAGGCCAAAAGCTATCATCTGAATCATCTGAAGCATTTGCAATGCCCTGCCCACTCCACGTATGGAACATCTTGAACCCAAATCAACCACCCCAACTGATTGGTAACTACGCCAGTCCCATGGAGTATCTGGGCATGCGGCACCGACTCTTAGAAAATAAATAGAGTTTGGTCCCGAGAACTGATGCTAACAAAAACAGGCTGCCAGGGTGGGACGATCTATTCCCTAACTACCCGCCCCCTCCTGAGGTTCGGTGCTTGAGGTGGGTGCCAGGGGTTAACCACCTTCGGATATGGGACGTTCGGAGCCCTACGAAATTTGAACATCGGTCATCGAAATCCCCTCCACACCTACGGATCTGTTTTCGTACCGTACCTCAGGTACGGACTCTCCTGGCACCTAGGTGACAGGACTCTCCAGTCACCGGACGACCCTTGGAGTCTCGTGAAACCCGATGCCTGGCAGGTGTCTGACTGACCTTTTTCGAAATAGCTAATTTAACAAGAGCAAATATAACTAATGTTTAACAAAAAAACTACAGTAATATATTCACTAATTCAACAACCAATTTTTAATGTGTTCCAAATCCAAAAAGGGCCGTGTGTGGGGATCATGTGTCTGACCTCGGCACCTCCTGCGGGGCCCCAAAGCTTCGGAGTCCGGGAACACCCCGAACCATCTGGGGGAGGGTCCCAGCTCCGTGGAGGCGCACGTCGCGACGGCCGCCGCCCCCGGCCTGCCCAGCCGGCGGCGAAGAAGCGACCTTGGGGATGGGGCCTCTCGATGGCATCGCCTGGAGCAGAAGGACATCGCCGTGGTCCACATGAAAATCATCACATGCAGAATTACCTGCCAGGAGGATCCAGGAGGCCGTATGCGCTACATATGACTGAACCTGCCAGGAGAGCATTTTTGTGCTGTACATATGACGTCTATTGAACCTGCGAACGGAGATTTCGAGGAGATTTCACCCTAAACGATTTGCTTTTTGCGTTCAGACTTCACCTCGAGGCTCCTGTGTTTGGACCTCTAATAGCCCAATTACCTTAAGTATATAGACGTATATATATGTATATATGCTTGGAGGTCGAACGAAAAACGGGCAAATTGGAAAACGAGCAAACTGGCCGGATTCGCCCTCATGAAATCTGAGTGGGTTTTCACTCAGGGTCCAGGGATCACATGGAGTTAGGTGGTGTTTGGTCTCTGAGTGGAGTAGCTGGGCACCCCTAACCTCCATGGATCGCACTCCGTCGAACGCGACTCCTGGGTGAAATATGTTTTGTTTTTGCCCTTTGGCCGCCTCTCGTGGCCGTGGTCGAAAGGTGAAAAAAACGTATAGCACTGTGGTCCCGAGGCATGTACACAGCTCACAAAATTATCTGGGCAAGAGACCCCAAACAGTGTGTGTGAGGTCTGTAAGCAGAAAATCTAGAGATCTAGAATCTAGACGCATTGGAGTCCAGAGAGGTGATGGTGGTGATGAAGTGAATCTGGGTGTGAGTGAGTGTGGGTGAGAGGGAGTGTGAGTGTGAGTGAGAGTGGGAGAGTCAGTGTGAGTGCGAGTGTGAGTGAGGTTGAAGGTGGGTGAGAGTGAGAGTGAGAAAAAGAGTGAGAGTGAGAGTGTGAGTGAGTGCGAGAGTGAGAGTGAGAGTGAGAGTGAGAGTGAGAGTGAGAGTGAGAGTGAAGGTAGGTGCGAGTGAGTGTGGGTGAGAGTGGGTGAGTGTGAGTGCGAGTGTGTGCGTGTGAGTGCGAGTGTGAGTGGGAGTGAGTGGGTGTGAGTGTGAGGAGTGTGAGGAGTGGGAGTGTGAGTGTGAGTGTGAGTGCGAGTGTGAGTGAGAGTGAGAGTGGGGGTGTGAGGGAGTGTGAGTGCGAGTGAAAGTGGGAGAGTAAGAGTGGGAGAGTGAGCATCTGAGAGCACAAAGTACTGTGCCTGCCACGAAATCTGCACTTCGAGGTTCACCATGCGCTGTGCCTGCCACGAAAAACTGCGCCAGACATTGTTAAAACAAACGTTTCTGCAACTGGACATCAAACATTCAGCAGCAACTCCCAAGAACGACCGAGCAGGCCTGCAAACGAGACCTTGAGAGGAGGCAATGCACATGGCGCATGAAGCATCTCCTCAAACCACCTTGCTTACACTACACAGCTTCCGGCTTACACAATCTTTTATAGCGACCTACTGTCAAACTAGCAGCGCGACAAAATGAAAAAGCGCACGAGCTGAGCCACGTGCTTCTGCATGATTCTGCATCTTGGAAACTGAAGCCAACCGTTTCGGCGCCTAGTCTCTGTCAGGACCCACAGTGGCCGCTGCAAGCACTGGGACCTTCGAGGTTCACAAAGTTCTGCAGCCTGCCACGAAATCTGCACTTCGAGGTTCACCAAGTGCTGCGCTTGCCACACTTCGAGGCTCACCAAGTGCTGCACCTGCCACGAAATCTGCACTTCGAGGTTCACCAAGTGCTGCGCCTGCCACGAAATCTGCACTTCGAGGTTCACCAAGTGCTGTAGCTGCCACGAAATCTGCACTTCGAGGTTCACCAAATCTACACATCGAGGGTCACAGAGTGCTGTGCCTGCCACGAAATTTGCACTTCGAGGTTCACCACCTGCTGTACCTGCCACGAAATCTGCACTTAAGTGCTGTACCAGCCACAAAATCTGCACTTCGAGGTTCACCAAGTGCTGCGCCTGCCACGAAATCTGCACTTCGAGGTTCACCATGCAAGTGCTGCGCCTGCCACGAAATCTGCACATCGAGGGTCACAGAGTGCTGTGCCTGCCACGAAATCTGCAAACGAGGCACATGTCCAAAAGTCACGATTCACTGCACCTGTCACGAAATCAGAGCTCTTCGACGATCATCACACCATGTCCAAAGTGCTGCGCCTGCCACGAAAACTGCAGTTCGAAGTATAACAGCTCCGATCCCTTACACCTGTCATGAAAAGTCGACTTTGGAGCACCAAAGCACGAGGTTTCCCTTGCGCCTGAAAAGTGATCACTATGTGCGAAAATGCGCACGGCACCACAACGAGAGCGCAGCCCACGCAGATTTCGCGAGCCTGCGCAGTCGAAATGCACATTGACGATGTCGAGAGGCATGCGCTAGGAGGACAACCGGCTGCCCACCTTCAAACCAGACATTGAAATTCGCGCATCCGTGCTTTGTGTGAAGGAGCACGTCTGCAAGATGCACCATGTCCACCCCGCGGTTGTGAACAATGTCTGGCATTTCCGCGATGCGCCTCCATGCTTTTGGCACAATGCGGTCGACCAGCTCAGTTTGCGCAGCGGCGCTGCGAGGCCACAATTTGCGCACAACCACGCACTCCACCCACCATAGCAGCAGAACCGAGACCGAAGGCTATTTCGGCCCTGTTTGAACACCGTGTTTTTGCGTGAGGTCTGCGTGTAACCTTGCTGAGGACTGCTGTGTGTAGGGGTGTGGCGTGTCAATGCTGAGTGTAGTCACTAGGCTCGAGCCGAGGCTGCGTATCACAGCAGAATCTCAACACTGAGTCACTGAACCTTTTTCTTGTTTGGTGGGCCGCGGGTGGCAGGCAGATTCTAGCAACAGAGTCCGTGACACATGACAATCACTCAAGCAACATCAACTTCACCAACGTTGGTGGGCTTCCTGATGGCTACACAGATAGACGTGCAACATTGCAACGCAATCAAAGCTTGATTGCCCTCCTTCTTTTCCAGTGCGCTCTTCTACATCAATCAGGCGGCGTTGCGCCCATCAAGGGCACGTTCCCACAGCCACACAGCGTGGCTCAAGCACCACCACGCCTGCTCAGAGTGTTGGTCAACGTAGCCTGCAGCGAGGCGAGGCGCAAAAGGAAAAGAAGGATAAGAGTGAACGTCCTTGAGCTCAGGGTACGACGTTCAAAGCCCCAATCCTCCAACATCCACTCTTTCAAGTGGTGAGTGGAGTGGGCGCCTGGCCCGTTTCAATAAAACATTCTGCGAACCCTGTTGTCTGCGCGCCCCCGAACAAGTGTGGCTAGCCTCGCGAAGGGCTTTAATGTAGTCCTCCAAAGCCATGCCATTGTCCCGGATGTGGACATCTGCCTTGTGTGACATCTTGCACACACACACACATACACACTTGCAAGAGTGATCAGATACCTGTTATATATCTGTCAAAAGGAAGGTGCTATGAGCTCTATTTTACTACTCACCAAGCCCCAAGCGTTCCTATCTGGCACCTCGTCCACCGATCGTTTGGCTCGCTGCCGGATCCCGCGGCCTCGACACAAAATTCAAGTGACAAACCTCTATAGGATGATCTAGATAGGCTCTAGACACACAACACGCTCATGTGTCTGAGTAGCCGTTGCCAGAGTTATCAGATACCTGTAATATGTGTCTCAAAAGGAAGGTTCTATGTTTTCATTTCAACAAGAAACACGAACCCAGTTGAAACTACTACTCACCAAGCCCCAAGCGTTCCTATCTGGCACCTCGTCCACTGCCGCCTCGACACAAAATTCGAGGGACAAACCTCTATAGGGTGATCTAGATAAACTCTAGACACACAATCATGTCCCTGAGTAGCCGTTAGTGCCTCCAAGTCTTGCACTGCCTGACGCAGTGCCTTGGAGAAATGGACCAATGCCGGTCCTTCCCATTTCTCGTTCACGCGGAGGTACGCGTGCCTGAGCAACGTCAACAAAAAGGCTTTGCCGCAACTGACATACAGCCAAGGGCATGACGCAGCGTCTCCGCGCTTGCCGGACACGCCCGCGCGGAACAGCGATCTAAGCACACCTGCTTTTCCACTACCGTAAGAACCCCTCAGTGTGCCCACACTGTTTGGGGAATAACGACAAGTCCATGGAAATAGGCGAGTCATCAATCACAAGCATCAATCAGTTTTGTTGATTTCGCCAAGAAGAACTTGTTCACACAAAGTGACTGAATAAAAACAGCCGGATAAAGCTTATGCATTCATAACATTTGGTTGTGTGGTGTTTGGCCCCCCATCCCATCCCAACCCAAGCTGCTCTGCACTCACTCTTTTTACCTGCTGTGGATCCTCCTGTGCTCCCTGAGACTTACAACTTCCAAGTTGCTCAGGGAGTTGTTCTGGGTGTCACCATCTTTGTGGTGCACCTCTTCTCTTGGGCCTAACTTCCTGCCCAACTTGTCCTGTAGGAGCTGCCTGTGGAATTGGACCCTCCTCCCACCCACCCTCAGTCCAATGTACAGGCCACTCCTACCTATCCTGGAGGTGCTCATGAATTCACCACTGGCAGCCAGTGGCACCCAATCACTCACTCCAGGATCCAGCTCCAGCCTCCCAACATGGTGCCACACTCCAACCACAGCACCATTGCTAGCCCAGTCTCTCATCAAGATTTCCTCCTCCATCTTGAGCCCAGGCTGTGGTGACCAAGGGGGGGTTGAACCCAAGCATGCTCAAGCAACCCTATGGCAAGAATACTGGTCCAAGCACCAGCCCAATTCACCAAAAGGGTGCTTATTGAGTAGTGTTGGTGCCCTGCTGTGTTCATTCCCCTTGGCCTCTTGGCTGGGCACTTCTTTAAATGACAAGGTGTCTGGGGGGCAGGGTGTGGGTGAAGAGGTGCCTTGAAGGGTGCACTACCAATACTTGCCAACTATCTTCCAGATCGAAGATTCTGTATTTCTTGACAGACTTGTGATCTTTGTGGGTGCACAATTGAATAGCCCCTCATGCCCACCACATTCAACCACCAAATGTAAAGAAATAAGATTGAAGGGATAATAATGGATAATATATAAAGATGTAGTCAATGTAGTCATAGGCCTTGGATGGCCTTGGGCTCTTCACACAGTGTTTTCACATCATGGAACTTCACAAAACATCGCGGCGCGGATGACATCAATCAACACCTGTGTTCCATGGCTTTTGCGGTACAAAGCGTTTCTTGAAGTTGTCGGTTGTTACTGTCAAAATGTTGGGGTGCGGGGGCCCCTTTCAATTTGTTGAGCTAAATGCCACGTTCTGCGCATGTGTTCTCTGTAGTCCCATTTTTACGAGGGCGTTCAACTCTACGAGTGTCGGGGACCTTGGGTTGTGCAGAAGTATAAGTGAAAGTAACTTGGCGTTGTGGATGATTGCGGTTTCGTATCATTGCATGATCAAGTCATATAGTTTCACACGTTTGCTTAAGACCTCAGTGAGGGGTTGAGTTGTCTCTAAGGCTCTAAGGACTCCAATCCGTATAAGAGTTTCGAGGCAATCACGGCATGGTAAACCAAACGTTTCCACTTGTTGTTGCAGCTCGGTTTTGTGCCAAAAGATGTCTATAAGCGGTTCAAGGTGCAACTGGTTTCGTCCCAATGCGTCTTCCGATTTCTTGCGAAGGGAAAACTGACGCATAATACTCGGCGAAGCAATATTGCATTCATGACGCTGCCATTACTAAAGGGATGGTGCCATCCACGAGAACTGCCAATGCTGCATCTCGTTGAGCAAGAATTCTAAATAACACATTTGCGTCTCAATCACTCTAATTTGGCTTGCCGGCGCTTACCATCAACAAAAATCGCGCGCATAGTCAAAACAATATACCCAGACGCTCCGTTCACAGCCCCTGGTCCCTCAAAACCTAGGAATTTGAGACCCCAGACCCTCCAGTGCGGATTCGGGTCCAGGGTCGCGTCTGGGTAGGCTTAGGCAACCCTGAGGAACAACTCCGTCCGCTAGCGCCAGCCGCACTCGCGGAATCGTCCTTTGACCTTGGACGACTTTAAAACATCGGTTTCTTGTTGACCAACTTTGGATGCGGTTTCTCGTTCGGCATCGGGAACTGGAAGCCTCCCATGGGTGAAGCATATAAGTAATAATACATTTAGCTTCATCTTAATTCACAGTATAGAGATTATGTGCCTATTTATGCTAAATATATGCTTAAATAAGCATTTTGTTGCATACATAAAACACAACAAATACAAATCCACAAGAGATTGAACCGGATCATGAGATCACTCGAGATCACTTGAGTCACTTGGACCTGGAACTCACTGGGTAAAGCATGTCCCCCTAGTTTAATTGCAGCCAGTGGGATTTCTTCGGAACTGGCTTGGCGTTGCAGAACAAATATCACAACAGCCCTTTCAGAAGCTTTTCACCACCCTTTCTTCCTTTTCCGCCCAGTCCACAACTGACACAGTTGAAAGCTTCGACTCCGATCCTCGACCCGTCCGCTTCTCGACCCGCCGACGCAACAAGGCCTCCAATGCTTTCACTCTCTTCTCCAAGCGTTGGAGCTGCTCGGCCTGTCCAAAGCGTCGACGCTGCGAGCAGATTCTGCGAGCAGAAAACCGTCTCTTTCAATATCTATTCAACTACTACCAGCTGCTTCCAAGGGGTCACCAATGGACATCTCCACACTACTTACAGGTCTCCATTAAGGCACCCCTTGGAATCGCTAGATAAGCTTCCAGTATGATCCAGTCGTACCGTGCTTAAGGTTCGGTACGACTGGGCCCGACGTTTTGGACCTACATAACAGCGGGTTCGGAACGAAAACGGATCGGACTAAAGAGCCTATAGCCATTCCGACTTCGGCAAAGGACTCCCAGATCCCCGCTAAGTCGGGCTAAGCACTCCAAGGCACAACCATGACAAATCCCCAGCTGCAGTCGCTGTCTTGACGGACCAGTCGATAACATTTTAAAAACAACCTCACGGACTTCGCGAACCCCCTTGTGCGGTTCCCGCGGTTCCCACTCACGACCCCGCCGCAGGTGTTCGGCCAGCCGTCTGCCTCATGGCTATAGCTCCGCACGACCTCATCGGACACTTCCAGGGCTCCTGAGGCTCCGATCGCGGCTCCGATCGGCTCCGGAGCTCCAGGCTTCGGGCTACGATCCGCTTCTACACCGACACGAGAGATGCCGGACGGCCGGACGTGTTCTTCGCCGAAGAAGAAGACCTGGGGCGGTGGTGCCAGGGGGATCTTTCTGGGTCGGCAGTCCTATGATGGCAGTCCCAGTCTTGTGGAATGTTTGGGACAGGATCCAACTGAACCAAGGCACTAGGTGTCACGTTAAGCAAATGGATACCCAATAGAGACCAAACCGATCAAGGCCACACCACAACAAAGGCATGGGGACTTCAACATATGGATGAGCGCAAGAACGAACAGAATGAACAAACTGCAGTGTTTGGAGTGAGCGCCAAGTTATCCTATATTTTGGACATTCGATGTTGAATTTGGTGCCAATTGGGGTGCATCTGCTGGTGGCTCTGGTGCCGGCATGAAACCGCCACCGCCCTGCCGCCGGCCTCCATTGGGTCGCCCTGCGCCGAAGTCTTCGGTGCGCTCCGCCGAACTCTTCAACCAGTGCATCGCCGCCGAGGACGCCGGCGACGCCACGCAGAGTTCGGCCGCACAGGTCTAGACCGTCCAGCTCCGAACCCAAAAGCAACTGCGGGAGGTGAAAAACGGTCATGTGTTTGGGTGGAGTGGGGAGGTGGAGATGGTCTGGAATGCTTGGTGGGCAATGTTTTTTTCCATGGTTTCTTTCTGTTTTTCACGTTGAACTTTAAAGGTCCGACCACTCCTTCAAGTGACATGGACATGAGGAAAGGACTTCTCGAACAAAGGAAAGCACACCCCCAAAGAATTGCGTTCCCACAGTTAGACAATGGATACCAAAATATACCAAAGATCCGCCCAGTTCAACATTTCTTGAATCGCACGCTTTGTTGGTTTGTACGTATATACAGTTCAATATAGTAAAATGCAAACCTAGTCCACGCAGGCACTAACACGGTCGCACATGTGGGAAGGGACTATTATAACTGGCCTTACTTGATTGAGAATAGCATCTACTTGGTTCGAGAACCAAATCCATCGATTCAGATAGTCGAGCAACTGTTAACGCATTGAACTTCACAACTCATCACAACTCTATTGAACCTGCACTTGCGCTGAATCACTTGGGTGCGGTTTCTTTTGAAACGCCAGATGCACCAATAATTCACTTTGAGGGACAAAGGGCAACCCATCCTGGAATCTGAGCCGCCCGGACATTGCATGGCAACATTTGGCAGAGGACAATCATCCAATCAGCGTTCTGCCTCCGTTGCGTGTCTGCCTCAACTCTGCCCCACATTAGCTATTGCTGTATGAGTGTCGCAAGAACTTCGTGGGTGGGCTGGGTGGCATGACACAAAGCCAGCCGCAACCAATAATAACCTGCCCTGCACACGGGAACCCACGAGGGCTTCCACACAGGGCCAAATGCCAAGAGCTACCACGAACTGTGCTTGGAATCAGCTGGGGTACTAGGCTCACCAGAAGTTGTTGCGGACATCTACGGCTACCACGCTGAAGCCGCGTGAGCTGACCAGCATGCCATCACGCAGCGGTGGGGCATCCTGTGGACTCTGATGGTTCCAGTCAGCCTTGATGACAAGAGCGCGCATACATGCTAGTTAACAAACAAACCGTCAGCACCTGATGTAGAACAAACCTATAATTGTAGTCCTAGGTCAAACGCATGAGCTTTCTAACTGGCCAAGCGACCTGCCAAAGCTTCGGAGCAGTCGTCTTACACACATTCCCCCTCCTACTTCCGTATGTCATGGATTGGGGCAGCGTATGCAAGGTACCTAGGTGTTCAGATGTCGCCACGGTGCGTTTCGTGACAATCACTTTGCCTATGTGTCCGGAGCATGTTGCTGCCGACCCCATGGTGTGGGACAGGTGCTCCGATAGCCGCCAGCTTGATCTGCGAAACAGACCGGCCCCGATGACCGGATGGCCATCGATCGAAGACAACGTCCATGGTCATAGGGTTGAGTCATCTGAGTTCAGCAGCCGGAGGCTGGACATCTCCGCTGTAACAGGATTCCAGTTGCCTCGCGGCCTCGTTCGGCCACAGTCGGTCCGTCCTGTAGAGGTTCCAGTGGGGGCCCTGATGAACTGGACCCCGCGTGAATCGGCGAGCTTCCGATGGAACTATCAGGATTCTTTAGAAAGCTTCTCCCAGTCAGGTCATTGTCAGGTATCTTCAAAGAAAATAAAGTTTAAAAGCAGCAAAAATCTGTGATGCCCAGATCACCCAAGGAACAATCTATGTGGCAGGTCCCACATTGTGTTAGGATCGTCGACGTGTGGTCTGACCGAGGGTCCCTCTGTTTTTGATGAAACAACGACGCGAAACGGCGCAATCGGCGGACGAACCGGCGAAACCTCGCGGCATCGCTACGAGGGATCCAATCTACTCCCGCTCCTACCCGGGTTCCAACAGCTTCTAGTCCTCTCAGAGACCATCCAAATGCGCTACCTATACCCGAGACCTGATACCGCAACTCCACATCGACGCAGCAACCTTACGCCAAAAGAGAAAGCACGCCAAGAACCAAAGCAACTCATCATCCCATTGGAGTGCCCCAGGGTCGACTTCCTGAATTCTTCACCATTCGCTCTGCACCTGCACTTCCCTCCGCTTCGTACCCAAAGCCTCCAATGCACCTGCCAGCGGCTAGCACTGCAGCCACTCAGCCCAGAGACCTTGGGGCAGCTCCGCATGGCAGGACATGGCAGGACTGGGTGTTTATCATGGCACCAGAACACTCCAAAACCAGGTTGACCACCTGAAATGGCAGCAGGGGGACCCGGGTTGACCACTGAACATGAACAGAATCCAAGGATTTGGGGTCCGGGTTTTGATCTAAATGAACAGAGAGTCACCGTGCCACCCAGGTGCCATGGTCAACCTACGAGGCTGCTGGGGCGGCTTTGACTCGTTAGCCATGTTTTGGGGCGGTTTTGACTGTGAAGACCTCGAAGGACTGTGAAGACCTCAGGGTTGGTCGCCGGCTGATGTCTTTTTCTCCACCGAGGAGTCTCAAATTGGCACCTCTCCCCACCACCCCAACCGAACACGCCACCAAAACGACTCCTGTTTCCATGCAACCTCTTCTTTTGATTCAAAAAGACAGCCAGTCAGCCACACTGAACCTCCCTTCCACCGGTCCACCAAACCACCCAACCACCCGACCCGATGCGCGCAGCAGCGATCCTGGGCGCTCCGGTCCCAGGTGAGCAGCAGCCAGGCCTCGCCCGCATCGGCGACCTCCAAGGCTTCGATGGGCGCCTGCGAAGAGAAGAGGCCTGCATTGACCAATACAGTATACTTTCGTGGTATTTAAAACGTACAGAAGTATAGCTTCTTGGTAAAGAAGTAGCTTCTTTATATGGAATTGGACATACTAGCAAGCTTCTTAGTTACTATAGTAATGCCAGGAGCTACGTTCGTAGCTTCCAATCGCTCCGTTCGTAGCGATGCACCTTATGGGCCAATTCTTTTCTATGGCCAAACAATGGGACATAATGCATTCATCCTGTGTGGACATCACACCTAAGGATTCGGTCGTGAGCCAAAATCTTATGATGTGCCAGTCAGAACGAGCATCATTCATGAGCTCCCCCGCCCCACACACGACATTGGTAGCATATATACCAGGACAATCACTGCCAGGCTCACCACCTGCCACTTTTAAGAAAAGCCCATTTCAGCCTTCCAGTGCGGAGGCAAACTATCAACATCCAGTCGTACTTTGGGTGATGTGTCGAGACCCTGTTTGTAGCCGGTGGTCTTGGGTCTGTGTTCGTACGGAAAAGCGCCTCAGCTTCGGTACCGACCACGGATTCCTCTAGGGATCCGCACCCAAAGACAACAAGGGTTAACGTTCGGGTACTAACCCCCTTGTTATAGAGGGTTCGCACCCCTTGCCATGGAGGGTCCAGACTCGGATCCTTAGGGTAGGGTATAGGCTTTCATCTCTCTGCACCACGTCCCTAACCAGCTTTGCACATCGATCTCGTGCCTTCGTGCCCGGCCCTTTGCCGACTTGCATCGGCGCCGCCAAACACGTTGGGAACAAGCCACGTCCCTTTTCAACAGGTATTGGAAGACTGTGCCATACCGTGCCACTATCTATTTGGGACCACTATAATTATATTAATTAGATTTAATTAGCAAGTTTAATTAGCATATGCCGTATCCGTATGATAGCTTCACATCCTCCGTGGATTGTCATCTTAATTACTATAGTGAAAAACACGACAGTATACCCTCATGTAGCCTCTATAAAATGAGACAAGATTCACGTGACTGTTCACCTGGTCTCCCCTCATCCACGCCAGGTGAACAGGGTGCCCATCTTCCGGGGCGCCGAACTGCACTGGCGGCCAGCTGTAAGATGCCGTCCTGACGGAACGAGAGTCGTGAGCGGCTCTGATGAGAACATAAGAGCTTCGATATTGCAGAACCTTTGTTTTCACTCATGGTCTTTTATATGTATTTATGGAAAGTCGACATGTGAACGCCCCTAGCTCCATAATATGCTAAACATGTCATCTACATGGTTCGCATCTACATGCCATCTGTATGTCATGACTCGTCCAGTCTCATCTTCCCTCTTGCTTCGGCGAGACGCAGAACTCGGTGCCGAGTCGGCGCAAAAGTGACGTCGGCGCGTCGGCGTGGTCACTCAAGGCTACCCACAACTCGCACTAAAGAACTCCCTCCGGACCTGGGGTCGAATCACCCGGTGAAGACTCTCTGCAAAGTGGTTTTGAGGGGGTCCAAGACTCTTCCCATCTGCAGGGAAGTAAGCTGGCTGGGTGGGGCTCTTCTCTGGACATCCGTGAGGGTTGCAGTGGCACCGAAAAATGCCCCACACGAAACACACGAAAAGCACCGTACAGTCTTTGCTTCAACACCATGTTTTCGGTGGGAAAGGTAAACCTCACCCTTCTCTTAGAGACTTGAACGAAAGCACATACTATACTGGTTTTAGAGTAAATGGCACTAGCACCCAAAGATGTCCTTTATGTTGGGGGTCCATCTAAACCACCAAACTGGGGGGGCCTGACCGTGGCATTTATCACCTCTGAAACCACGGTCGTATCTTTCAAGCTTGCAAACCAGGACATGCTGAAAACCGGCCCATATTTAGAAGAAAGCTGGGCCCTATAGACCAACAAGTGCCAGCTCTGGTCAGCCAACTGGCCTAAAGGTGACCTCCTCGACGGCTGCTGTCGCAGTTCCATGCATTTGGCGCTGGAGTCGTCGAGGGTCCACGAGCACGTCCGGACAGAGGGTCCACGAGCTCATCTGGAAGAGCTGCCCATGGGCTGCCCATGTAAAACCCCTCCAGTCCCACGGAGGAAGGAATTCCCTTCCTTTGAATTGACCCATCCAGGATCCGCACCCAAAGACAACAAGGGTTCTTTGCTTCGGGTACGACTAGTAGCCATTGTGAACAGCAAGCTTCGACTCCTTTCTAAGGACGGTCCGGACTCGAATCCTTAGGGGATCAGTTAAAGTTATAACTATCTTTAGTAACTGCTATGACTCCATGGGAGTTAAGATGGATCCCTAAGAGCCAGGTTTTTAGGGGATGACTCCATAC